TAGCATAGCTCCAACCAGCATCCTTTTAGAAATCATGTACTTTCTTCTTAAGCATATTTTTCTTTGCTCCAGTGAGCACTGAGTCATCCAAGTGCAAAAAGATGCAGATCTCTACACCTCCTCCGCCCTGCGCTGCTTTCACATAGAGCGCTAAGACTAATGCCCGGGTATATCCGTCACACCCCAGCGAGCAGCACTCTGTGTCTAATTCAGGATTCCTATACAGTATGTTCTCTCTTTAACTTTCAGAAACACATATAAAGTCCCCAGCGTCTGAATTCAGAGTACCTTTTAAATGCACTTGGCCATTTCTGTGCTTATTTATGGAGGGCGTTTCTTATTGTTTTGATGTTTGGAATCTACAGAAGGACGTAAACTGCGTTCAAACTGATAGAAAACATTATTTCTTGTTATAAAAGCCTCAACGAGCCACTTGGTTTGTTATGAAGGTCCTCTATGGGAACTTAACCAGCACTCGATAAATGGATTTGATTCTCACCTGCGTTTCAAATGCTAACGAAGCACATTTATCTTACTTGAGCCGCTGCTATAGGCTGTTAATGATGTTGGCAGAGATGACTTACCAAGCGAGATGAAGACGCGGAGGGAGAATCCTTGATTTGAAGATGAGAGTGACACAAGCCTGTATTTCAGCGTGGAAGCTAATTTAAATATACACTTAGTGCCTGACTGGGGACTTCCCCTTATGCATGAGGAGGATCCTCCCACTTAAACACACACACACAGAGTGAGGTCAGACAAGAAAAGTGCCTATATATTGTAGTCACTTTCCCTTGGACTGTATTTTGAGACTGAGTGTAGGCCATAGAGTAAACACGATGTCTGGTACTGAGTGTCTGGCACATGGAAGTGTGAGACAGTTCACTGCACTCTAGTGACTTCCACAGTCACCTGACCGGAGCACTCTTGGGATGTGGTGCAGCAGGAGATTCACATCATGGATGTGCAGCTGATCAAATCTGCAGCTGTGTGATGCTGTCATGGCAATAAGGACTAAAACATCTGAGGAATGTTTCCAGCACCTCGGTGAATCTGTGCCGTGAAGAATTAAATCTGAATACAAAGGAGTTCTGGCAAGGTGTACCTAATAAAGTGTCTGAAGGTTGTAGAGGGGTTGAATCACTTTTGGAGCGAGCTACAAGAGGCTGTTAGGAGAACTCATCATTATTATTTTAGTCCACTTAATTACACTTGAACTACATAGAATATGAAATACCCTCTACATCTTTTTTTTTTAAAGAATATAAAACATTCATTAAAAAAGAAAAGATATATGGCCTAGAGCTGAGACGCCACATTTATTCCAGTTTGATTTTAAGTGGGCCAGGCCCCGTTTAATCCCTGAGATAGATTAATATCAGAAAAACAGTCCAATTTCGACAAAATGTATACATTTTTGGGGGAGGGGGATGTTTTTTTTTTATATGATAATAGAAACACTGCTGTAGTAAATACAAGAAATCTGTCAGCACGACTCTCTGGGCTTAATCTGCAAGAGGTAAATGTGTAAAATTATAAACAGAAATTTCTTGTTTATTCACAGAAAATTTCTGTTTTTACATTTCTATTGTAGTGAAAAAAATTGATTTAATTTTGGGGGAAAATTGGATCAAGGTTGAGTTTAAATGGGAAAATCAGTCAACACTTTGTGTTACCCACAATGTTTTATGGCTCGTCTTCAGAAGTGACATCGACATACTGGGCCTTGGGAGACATGAGTTTCTAGGCTGGCTACGCATGTGACCTCATTGTTAGCACCCACCAACAACACATAACAGGCTGATGTTGATATATTGTAATAAAGACAAACTGATGTGACCATGATCACGGAGAGGTCTTCATTAGCAGGAAAAGCTGTAAAACTTAGAAAGAAAATACAATTAAAAATACAAAATTTATGCCCTAACTCATATTTTATAAAAACATCCAGTGGGCCAGATTGGAGTCTTTACAGGCCAATTCTGGCACCTCGAACTAGAATATCAATAATAATGGATTGGATTTATATAGCGCTTTTCAAGGCACTCAAAGCGCTTTACAATGCCACTATTCATTCACTCTCACACACTGGTGGAGTGTGTGAGACCGCAAGCTACGGTCATAGCCACAGCTGCCCTGGGACAGACTGACAGAAGCGAGGCTGCCATATTGTGCCATTGGCCCCTCTGGCCATCACCAGTAGGTGGTAGGGTAAAGTGTCTTGCCCAAGGACACAACAACCAGGACAGAGAGCCCGGTTACAGATATGCTTCCCAGCCCCCTGAGCCACGGTCGCCCACATATCAGCAAAGTTTGCCTTTTAGGCCTTTAGTGTGTTTTTAGATCATTGTGCAAAATGCTAAAATGCTGCTACTACAGATCAGAGTGTTTTACTTTGTTAAACTAGAAAAATGTGCCAATTTAATCATACTAAAAAAACTTTTTAAATAAGAATTAAGATTTGTGCAGCTCCGTGTTCCAGTCTTCGCACACGAAGCTCCTACAGTGACTCAGTGTTGACAGATATTAATGCACTGCTGAGCGTGCCTGACACTTGTTGGGAAGATGTGAGTAAACTTTCTCGACATCAGTGTGAAACTGCCGGGCAGTTCCACACCATGTGTTTTACACCACGCTGAGCACAAACCATGACTGCAGTGTCTTATCTCTGCTTCAGTTCTCATATGAACAAGGATTTGCGTACAAAGATTTGTGTCTGTCTAAAACTGAGACCGAATACAATGAACTATTTTTAAGCAAGGCGAGAACACCTGATCTTGGTAAAAACGTGCCTTTGACATGGAGATTTAAACCTCTCAAGCCCTGCACGGCTTTATCTCAGCTCCTTTGTCACTGAAAGGTCCTTTTTGTGATTTGAGATCCCCTCAAAAAAAGTGTGCTCGCAATATACTATTAAAAAGTCACTGCTGGCATTAGATTGAAACTGAGATTAGTAAAGAGGGCGACTTGGACGAGTGTGGAACTAAAATGTCAGTTTGAAAGACAATGATTAATCTCCCAAACCCTGAGGGAGATCTGGAATAAAAAGTTTCAGATATGAGTCTGAGATTTTCAGGGAGGATCTGCTAAGCAGCTGTAAGAAGATAACGGAAATTATGTGGCGAGATGTCATTAAAAGGTGTTAGTTTTGTTTTAAAGCACTCTCATTTAGTTCTGCTTTCTGACACTGTTAGTAATACAAAGAGTCCACTGCTCCCCCTCCCCGATAAAACAACTGCAGGTGCAGGAGCTTATCCCAGTGTGCACCCCTGGTCAGACCACGCAGAGAGACAAACAAGCCTTCACACTCACATTCACATCTACTGCTGATTTAGAATCACGGCTCAGCCTAACATGCATGTGTTTGATCTGTGGGAGGAAGTCAGAGCACCCAGAGAAACCCCCCACAGGGACAGGGAGAACATTCAAACGCCACACAGAAACCCAGGACCTTCATCTATGGGCGGCGCTGCTGTATATCATGGTCATCTATCAAATAAATAAAGTCAAGAAATGACAACCACAACTTTGAACGCCATCAGCCCGTAGGAGTGCTTATTGCACTTACAGGGTCACGGTACCACACTGGCTTCCCACTCATCGAAGCCTGAGAAACTGACTCAGTCTCTGACCCTGAGGTTCTGTAGCAGAAAAATCCAACAATCTAGAATCCAATCTAGAGCCAATCCTGCACAGTTCTACCAGAAAAAGAGTGTATAAAGCACTCAGAGTGCTTTATACAACGTGTCTCATTCATCCAGTCAGACACAAGCATTCCTCACCCCTGCTATATCTAAGTGTTTTCTAACGTTCACTAATAAACGCCTTGGAGAATAATTTGGGGTTCAGTTCCTTGCCAAAGAGTACTTTAGCATGGAAACTGAAGCAGCTAGGGATTAAACCACCAACCTTTAGTTAGTAGGTGCTCTACTGCTTTACTGCTCGAGCCACAACCACATAAATCTGCTGGGCCTTGAGTTAGAACCAGTAATGTCAGTGGTGACGGGAAGGGCTAGTGCAGGAAACCTCTGATGATTTGCAGATGCAGTTTTTCATCCAATGAAATGCATCACAGCTTCTGTTAGTCAAAATAATTCTCAAAGGCGTTCAAAAAGTGGCCTGGTTTTCGAAAGGCACCAGGCAGGACCTCTGCACACTAGTGGAACAAGGTGTTTGTTAAGAAAGACTGACAGAACAAAGCCAATCAATGGTTACATAAACAAAAGAGGAAACACGGCCATTAAAAATGCATATTAACAAACAAATTCATCACTGGGATTCAAACTACAGGAGCATGCTTGAGCAAGTGAGCCGTAAATAATCAACTTCCACTTTGGCTACATCTGTATGTAAAACACCTAAATGCAAGTCACCGTGTGAGACAAAAAGAAGCAGAATTTGAGGAAGAGCTGCACATGGATGACTCGGCTCCATGTTGACTCACAGTGAAAGCAAAAGATTGGTCATCAGATTTGATCTAATCTAATTAAGTGTTAAATGCAAAATAATGGAGAGAAAATGTCAAAGATTTAATCAAAATCAAAACAAAACTAACAAAAAAACAACAAAAAAAGAAGAAATAGTTTGACAGGAAATATTTTTGCATCACCAAGGTGGTTCCCATAGAGCTATTAGCCAAAAACGTCCCATATAAGTGATTTACAGTAGATGAGCTGAAGTATCTGAAAGTCATGTCATGTCAAAAAGGAAACAAAAATCCAACAAACACCTGACAGGACCATAGAGATGGACTCTTCAGCTGATCTATCTGCAGTTCACCAAAACCTCTTAATAGAGGGGGGGCTTCTTAAGGAAGAGAAACAGAGGGGGAAAGCCTCAGGTGTGCCAAAATACACAAGATTTGAACAGAAAATCAGTGGCAACAGGTCTGTTGGAGAGATGAGTCCAAATTTGAAACTTGTAGCTAAAATCAGCTTCAAGGATGGAAGTCACGAAAGATACACAGCAGTAAGTGTCATGGTTCCATTGTTTCATGGAATTATGAACACAGATTCCGCTCCACCACACAATATGATGAAAGTCTCTGATTGGCTATAGTTTCACTCTTCAACATGACAATTCAGTTCAGTTTCTTTTCAGTTTTAATTACACAATGCCAAATCACAATTTGCCATAAGATGCTTAATGTGGTTTTTATACAGAGAAAACCCCAATGACCGCACAAGTGCGTCACCTGGCTTAATGGATAGAGCTGGGCATCATCTGCATAGCAGTGAAAATTTATGATATGGCTTTGAACGATAGTACCTAAAGGAAGCATGTATAATATCAACAGAACTGGTCCTGGTGAGGAACCCTGTGGAACATGTCAATGATCCCAAACATACTGGCCAAATAGAGAAACACACATTACACACTACTAGTCATGGACAAGCCTCACCAGAGCCCCGACTTCAACATTATTGAAGCAGTCTGGGATCAAATGGACAGTGAATGGAACAAAAGGCAGGCAACATCCGAAAACTGTCATGGTGTGGGTCTAGGGACCCAGGGCTCATGTATTTTTGTATTTTGTATGTTTATTTTTCCATATGTAGGGTTTTGGTTGTTTTGAATAAATCGACTGTCCTTCACAATAAGAGTCCAGCATTTGGGTCCTTCTTACCTCAACTCCACGGTCTGCCATTGCAATCCGTGACAGTATAATCCCGCCATAATGGACCCAGCGGACTCAAGTGTTGCCTCAGAGAAGGAGTTGTTCTCCCAGCTCTGCTGAAGCATAATCCAGACTGCGAGCAAACACCAGAGACACATAGAGGTAGTGTTTTTTGATAACTTCCTGTCATCCACTACCTTTTCTGTGAGCTTTTTGGACATTAAAAAACCGTCGCTTGCTACTCACTTGTTGGAACCTCCATTCTGGGGGAGACGGCTCCCTCGCCATCAGCATCCCACCACATCTCCTCTCACTCCTGCAGCGTGTGCTGAGTCAGCAGACAAAGGACTGACAGCTCTAGTGACTGCAGTGAGTAAACCGGACTCTGTTGTTTTAATAAATCCTGTCACAGGGGATCAAACTGCAGATGATCAAGAGGGGACAGTTTCCACACACGTGGCCCCACCTTCTCGGAGGAGACGGCGCCCGTGCCATCGTCAAACCACAACTCACCTCACTCCTGTGGCGGGAGAGGAATCAGCTGATTCTGGACCAGCTGAGCAAGGCGCCACAGAGAGTTACTCAGCCATAGTTGTAATTCTACTTGCTTTGAACAGGAAACTAAAGACTGTTTCTTCCCCGTTCACTGGCAATGCTAAGCCTGCTAAATGTGGAGAGAGAGAGGTTTTGGCTAACCTGTCCACTGTGGGTTTCTCTGAGTCAGTGGGCCTAGAGACTGTCAGTGGGCCCTGTAGCTACTAACTGTGAATCTGTTATGAGTAACCCAGGCTCCTTTTCGTTACCTGTAGTGTGTCTATTGACACCCTCCCAGGGAGGGATGAGAGTTGTTTTTCCGGTGCTCATTCCGAGCCTGGGACTATAGTTATCAGACCTGTTCAGTCTGTTTGTTTGTTTTTTGGAGGACACTTCCACAGTCTTTGAGAATATGGATTTTTTTCCACTACGCTCCATCTGAGCTTATGAGCCAAGAGACTATTAGCCTACCGCCTACTGTTAACTTTGGGACTGTTTTTATGGCTGCTGAATGGACAGCGTTAGAGAGCCCGGCATTAGGGAGCCCGGCATTAGGGAGCCTGGCGTCAGAACCCTTTTCCGCCCAGTCACTCAGCCAAAAGACAGTTACTCTCCCCAGGGCTTCCCCAGAGAGTGAGTCTGTGATTTTTGTCACCTCTGGACCCCTGCAGATGGCTCAGTCAGCTGCCCAGCCTGTGGCTCAGCCATTTCTTCAGCCACCTGTCACCACCATGCCGCCACCGTCAGTTCAATTGCCACAAAGGCTGCCACACCACCATCATCACAGATGCTCATGACAGGTTCGCCACCATCATGTCCACCACCTGTGGCTGCCACACCACCATCGCCATTGCCTCAACCATCTGCAGCTGCCGCCCCGCCTGGGGGACCCGCTCAGCCCGAGCTGGAGGACAGCATGCCGGGGGGGTGTGGGCCGTCTGCTGCGCCTCAGGATATCAAGCCAACTGGTCCTGCCTCGTCTGGCCATGCATGCCAGCCATCCACCAAGTTGCCCGGGCCACGGCCTGCATGACCTGCACGTCATGGAGCGTCTGCTGTGCAACGCTGCCGCCACTGGACCCGCGGACGGCCACCTGAGCCGCTAAGTTGCTGCCAAGGGATCTGCGGCCGTCCACCAGAGCTGCCATGTTACCAACACCAGGCCCGTGGCAGGCCACCTAAACTGTTTTGCCACAGTCGCCGCCCGCTGGGCCAACCTCCAGAACTGTCTCACTGTCGCTGCTGGACCCATGGCATGCCACCGGAAGGATCTTGCCAGCATCACCACCGGTTTGGTGGGCCACCTGAACTGTTCTGTCGCCACCATGGAAATCATGGTTTGTGGAACTGTTATGGGGCCTTATCAAGAGTGTGCTATTTAAGAAGGTGGCAGAGCTCCAGTCAGCGCAGGATTATACTGCGTCAAACCTGTAAAGTACCTCCGTTGATGAGTGTTTGTGAACAATATTGCTACTGTGGGTGTCCTGCTGAGCTGCGTGTTTTTGTGTCACCAGGAGACAGGAGCGGAGAGCGTCGTCAGGAGGGGAAGTCACAGAGCTGAATTAGGTTTTGGAGTTTTCACCTTTTCACTGTTTATGGACACGTGCACGTGCACACACAGCTTTTAATGTCCTCTGAGAATGTCATTTGATACTATTGGCTGATCATGCGAATAGGTCCCTTCAACATTAAACTCTACAGAGCTAAGATTGCCAAGAAATACTCACTGTGAACAAAGGCCCAAAGAAGAGAATTTGTGTTGCTATACTGAAGAAAGTTCAAAGTTAATTGAGTTTGTAGATTCTTGTATGCAGCATGTATACTACATGCAAATAACACCATTAGCCATGTTTTACATTATAGTTATTCTGACATTTAACAAGGTGGTTAACAAGATTGAATATTTGTTATTTTTGCTTTGACTAAGCTGCCACATAAAAACATTAAGAGAACCCTCAATCATTGTAGTATAACACATTATTAAGCATCAGGCATATCATAAAAATCCATCGTGAAGGCATTTCAGCTGATTTGGTGCAAGTCAAAGGGGCAACAGGTGCAGCAGGGAGGCAACAATAAGACCAACCTCCAAGAAAGGAAATAGTTTTGCAGGTGGTGGCCACAGACCATTGCCCCTCCTATCTGATTTTTCAGCTTTCTCTTAGTTCCTGTCACAGCTGGCAGCCCGTGATGGTGCATACAAGGCATTGCACAGGTAGCCCAACTCCTCCAGGAGGGGACACCCATACATACTACGACCAGAAGTAACTTCAAGCACAGTGTGGATGAGATACCAGCAGACGGGCGGTTATATGAGCATACTTGGACAGGCTGTAGAAAGGCATCAACCCAGCAGCAGGACCAGGAGGAGTGTTATCAGAGCCCTACAGGATGACCTCCAGTGGAATACTTATGTGTGTATTTCTGACCAGACTGTCCAAAAAAGGCTTATGTAATGTGTTCACCATGGTTTATGCTTCCTAGCTGGACAGATTGAGATCATTGATGTGTACTGACTTTATTTTATACTTTGATATATTATTGCTTCAAGAATAGTTTTAAGTTTAGGTTTTGATTAAATGAAAGCATGCTTTGCCATATATGTCCTGGGTGTGAATCTGTAGAGCCATGAAAAAGTATTTGTGTCCTTCCTGATTTCTGATTTTTTTTAAAAATTGTATATATATTGTCACTCTTAAATGTTACAGATCATCAAACAAATTTTAATAGTAGACAAAGATAACCTCGGTAAATACAAAATGCAGTTTTTATATGATGATGTCATTTATTATGGGAAAAGTTATTCAAGCTTACCTGAACCTGCGTAAAAAAGTAACTGCCCCACACTGGGAAATTACTGCACTGTACTTTCCCAGTGTGGCCCACTGCGAAACTGAATGTGACACTCCTCATTTAGAGAACTATGAAGCTACGTGTTTTTGGCTAGTATGGTATTACCTGAGGATACAGCAGTGACATTATCTGAAACTCGAGCCATGTCTAATATGAGCGCTCGGTATGTGAAGGTAAAGGATTTATTAGTATCCATGAATAAAGCCAAAAGGATTTATGGATTTAAATACATGCATTTGTTTTGATAAAAAGACTCACAGCAGGCGAGAGGAGATTTCATAAAGAGCAGTTTGTTGTTGGAGGTTTGTATTGTTGCGAAAAGCGTGCCACAGATGGCGAACAACTGGTGCGAATTCTGAGAAAGAAAAAGGAGGTTGCTGTACATTGTAGATCACACCTTTAACCAAATAACCCCTGGCAGAAACCTGAAGTCACCCAGAATAGATTCACTGCAGGTGGGTAGTCAAATTCTGCAAAGGGAAAAGGAAGCCAGCTCACATGATTAAAACTGAAAACAATGAAAAATAGTCCAAACAGGACTAAATCAGCCTTGGTCTGATTTGCTGAAATATTTCATGCACAACATTTAGAAGAGCAGGGTAGCAAGAAGAGTGAGTTTAGTTCTACATAGAGTGTTACCTTATTAGATATTCACTTGATTTGACTGCTTTTCACTGTTGAAAATGATAGAAAATGTTGAGTTGTTGCTCCTGCGAAAGCATGGTGGTGTAATATTTTGGTGGACATGATGAAGAACAAAGATAAATAAAGCCTGCAAAAACATCTTTGTTCCCATAAACCACTGGGATGTTTGGCATTTTATAGGGAACACAAAAAGCAGCAGACTCTGACCAGCAGATGGAGTCACGCTACAGGAAATGAAAGGATAATCTGCTCTGTGCACGTTCAACAGTAACTTCCAGCCTGATCTATGTTCTGTTCAACATGGGTTGCAGTGGCTTACACGCACCATCTTTTTTCTTTCTTCATACCACTGGAACACTTTGTTCATCAGTTGTAATCCTCTTATGAAGGTGTTGAAACTCTACTCAGGCACAGGTTGGAAGAGGATGAAAGTAGGCTCAGCATGTGATGAAGATAGTATTGACAGGTGTACGAAGATATGTGATCAAAGGATGAGAGCTCATATGTCGAGCAGACCTGAAATGCCTCTTGGACCACCGAACACCCAAGAGGGGCGTCTTTGCTAGATCAAATAGACAACGTTGCATAGTTGCACTCTCACATTTACTTTCTTCAGTGTCGGTGTAGCATCTGTTTTCACTTTACCCATGCTGGGAAACACGATGTTCATTACGGAATAATGGAAAACCCAGACATCATCCTTTGCTTTGTTTATGCAGGTGAAAATTACTGTATTTACAACCAAGTGCTGTTATGAATACTAGATGGTTAAAATGCAACTATGTTTCTCTTTTCATGCATTCTTCCTGCAGAGGCTGTTATAATGAACTGACATGTTGTATTTGCACTATTTTCTACGGTGTCTTTGAAAGGTCAAACACACTGTGAAAACCATACAAAACACAACAGAAGTGGGAGAAAAAAAGCTATAAAAAAAAAAAACAAAAACCCAACCAAGGTAGAAAAACTTTAAATTTATCACATTCAGAAGATTTTCAGAAAACTTGACCTCTGACCTTAAGGACAAGGTCAAAGTTCAAGGTCTCTGAAATTCAAACTCATCTGAAAATCATAGTGGATGCACCTTTGGTATGAATTTGAATATGTAAAATGAATGCATTCACAAAGTTAGGTATTCACGCTGTCCGGCAAGGTGACAACACCACATCACCCTTTTACCTCAGTGGTTGAAGGGTGATGTGATAGTGTTTTTAAAACCCCCAGTGTAAAAAAAAGGCTAAAAACTATTGCAGTGCAGCCCAATGTAAGTAA